ACACACACACACACACACACACACACACACACACACACACACACACAGTTCTTGTTTACTGAGATCACACATTATAAACTGTTAGGGGCGAGACTTCTGAAAAGAAGACTGAACAAACCCCACAACAGGAGCTCCTCCTCAGAATAACGGAAACTGAATGAGGTAAAAGGTGTGTGGAAGGAAGGACAATGGAAGAAACAAAGAGGCACAGGAATGATAACGTGAGAATACAAACACGTTACCAAGAAAAGGGATTACAGAATCTGGGATGCTTCTTGCAGAGTTAGGGCCCATTTGAAATCTCATTTTTAAACACTGAACACTCAGGTAGCCATTTGCCTGATAGGCACTATAAAAGTCAGAGCCTAAATAAACAAACTAACTTCCCTGTCAGCTCAAGACTCTTCAGTTAAGCTGGCCACAAGCCTGGATCAGTTCTGAAGGGCATGTGTTTTGGTGACTTCAGACTAGCAGTTGCAGGGATGAGGGAAACTATCTGAACCCATGAAAAACTTGGAAAAGAATGAAAAGACAAAATTTGTTTTAAGAAGCAGAGAGTGGAAGAGAGAGAACCCAAAACAAGTCCCATTAGAGGACGGAGGGACTGGTTGGGTACAAGCTCTGTCACCCCCCAAGCTAAAGAAAAGCACTGATTAGAACTTCAGCCTCATTTCAGTGGTTAGACAATGCCAAGCAGCAAGAGGAAAAATTACTCAGATAACACAAAGAATTCAGGAAGACCATTAAGTGAAATAGATTTGGCAATAAGCTAGTCAGGAGCTCGTGAGAAAGAGCAGAGAAAGAAATAAATTAATTACCAACACTATAAAGATGAAGATGTACACTGAACACTGCTATAAAATAAATGAATACAAAAACTGAAAAACAGGAAGATGAACTAAGTTGCTGGATGTGCAGATAACTTATACCTTAAATTTTCAGGCTACAGTTTCACTAAAGACAACATTCTGGGCCTAATCTTTCTCAGCCGTGGAACACTGGGCTGAGACTCAGAAGGGACAACTATACAGAAGCTAAAGCTCAAGAATCAAAATACTGCTTAACCATCAGAAAGGAATTGGTGAATCTAAACAGTATTGATCCAGTCTCCAATACAGAATGGCCAGAAATATGCTTATTCTTAGAGGCCTTAGATGAGGCAGGGCTGTAACAACAGGAACATGGTAATAATGAGAGATTATAGGAGAGCTGAGCAGGA